TGTGTTGAAGTGAAGGATGAAAAGCCAAACTGAGCAACAAAATATATAAAGCACAGTACCACCAAAACATGTAATTTGCTATAAATAAAGATATGGCAAGAAGCCAGGGAATCTGATATATAGAGCACCTTCTGTCCACCAAATCATCGAACGGCTTTCGTGCATCTACTACTATCCATAGCCAGTCAGGTACTCCAGTTTAAAACTACAGGAGCATACAGTAAGTATCCCAGAATGAAAGAGTAAATATCCTATTCATAACAGCACAAGAGTCATAATCATCATCTTATGACAGGGATTCTCTTAGTCTTATGACTTCAGTTGTTAGTTATGGAAGTGAGGAAGGAATTGCTTGTGCAGAGCTCTATGAAAAGTTTCATTCACAACGGTACCACTAAATATTCAATTTTTGACTTTTTAAAAAGAAGCAACAACAACAAAAACCCAAGACATCATTTTGTGTCAATGCAGCGTGGAAACTTTGTACTATATTGTATTTCAAGGGCAGTTTTTTCCCTAATGAAAAGAACACTGGCCAACATCAATGAAAAATTTCAATAGTTTCCAAGATGAGAGTGAAACAATGCAAACTTTGAAACAAGTAGTTGAAAATAATTGTTTTTAAAAGTGTTTAGGTCCATTACAAAATGTTGCGAAGTAAAACACACATTTTGTCCAGCTCAGCTGAGAACTAGAGACTATACATCTAAGAAACTCCACACTTCTATTTTAAATTCAGTGTATACACTGACAACTTAAATGCAGATTATAACTTGGGACAAAACATTTTGCAACACAACATATTTTGTTAAAGATTGATCTTAACCACAACCATGGACTCAACCCTCCCTTAACTTTGGAGAAGTTCAGATTCACACCTTTTACCTAAAGTTTCTTGCCACTTTAACCAGAAAGGACACTCTCTAAATGACTTAGCCACCTGCATTCTGCTACAAAGACCTTTTACATCTGCACTTGAAAGGGAATCCTCTGAACTGTCATTCATGTTAAAATTCGACACTTGCCAACAAGGACTTAACAAGAATTTGAACTATCTCACCCATTACCAAGACAGTTTCCCCAATTATCACCTGTAATACCATTAACTCACAAACATCCCACTCTCCCTACCTTTAATATCATCAATTCACAGACCCTTACCTTCCTTCCTCCCCCTTCCCCCCCTCCCCCCCCGCATCCCCCTTCTGTTCTGCAATGTGATTTGTCCTTTTCATATTTGTTCATTTTTTTAATTGTATCCTTTGGTTCAATTAGTTCAATTTGTAAAAGAGGGCCATATCCAGTACTATAAGGGAATGGACACAACAATGACAGATAATTAGGACCAATATCCCAAAATCAGATCCTCTTAGATCCAGACACCTGGCTATGGGAGGGGGAAGAGATGTCATCTGCACATATAATTTTTCGATACACCCATGGCTGTGTTGGTATACAGAGAAATCCTCCAATTAGAGGAAAACAAACAATGCTATACCTTTCAGAATTTTGGACAGATCTGGGTTTGTTGTACATTGTATAATCACTGTCCTGTAAATAAGAATCAGGACACTTTGTTATTGCCACCATGCTCTCTCTACATGGTTGTTGTTGACATACAGAACTCTCCAGTCAAGTCACCATCTTTGTGTTCTGTTTTTTTTAGAGCACCTAGAACAATGGAGTCCTGGACCATAGCTATGGTTCCTAAGTACTACTGTAATACAGCCAATAACAATAAAGAAGAAAAAACAAAGACGGGCTGTGCTATGAAACTTCTTGTAAAAGGATGAAATTGTCTAATTCAAAACTGTGAACAGAAAAAAATCCCACCTGATCCTCTAGTCCTATCTCATCACCTTTACCTTGTTGTTTAACCTGTAGCCCTGCATCAGTCTCCCATTCACTCTCCATTGTCAATTTCCCCACCTGACCATCACCTTGTCTCCCTCAACCATGTCCACTTGCCATCTTTTCCCTTCCCCCAATATCCGAGTAGAAGTCCATGACTAATTTATCAGCTTCTATAACCTGTCTTTTTTAAGTCCCCTCCTTCCTGTCCTCTCTTCCCTTTTCTCCATTGTCTCAGCCACTGATTCTTGCTTATCTAGATCCTCTTCTAGACCCTCTCCCAACTTGGCTCCCCTCTCGAAGTATTCTGCGTATTTTAATATATGTGATAGCTTCACCATTGCCTTGTCCTCCTGCCTCCATTTGTTTTGCAATATCCACCTGTCCTCTTCCACCATTGGCAATAATGTAAGCTTCTTGAGGCTTTTATTTAATTCCATGTGCATACAGCATGTAGCAGAGTATGGCCTGATCCCTGACTAGAGTCAATAGCTGCTACTGTAATATAAATAAAAATAATAAGCAAAAGCTACCTTGACAGCAGTACAGAGGCTACAACTGGGAAATGGAAATTGCTTGCCTAATTTGTACACTTGAGACCTTGGCTGACAATAAGGTCCAGAACACAGAAGAAAAGGAATGATCAAGTTAGGACATTGATCTGATTGACATACCAAACCAATTACATAGTGCATGGGGGAAGATAAGAGTCACTTTCCACCAACTGCTGTCTACTAGGTAGAGCAGAAAAATACTCTATTTTGCTTCTCTGTAGAGCAGCTCAGCTAACCTGAAGGAATCAGTTTTGTATCCCATATCCTCTCATCTAGGTGTCTTGTAGATAGAAAAAGATGCTAATCTCCTACTAAAGTAGTCACTAGGCACAAAGTGGATCAGCAGTAAGGAAGCAGGACTAGACAAAAAAGAAGAGAGGAGTGAAGGAGCCCAACTGCCTCCCTTGCAGTGGAACATCACATTATCTATAGTACTCACAGGCTGTTCAGAAAGGGCTCTAGGAGTGAGAAAAGACCTAGTCTGTATGTGTCCAGATGGGCTGACCGGCAAGTTGCAGCCACTTGACGTGGCTGTGAACCACCCAGGGCACAGGCGCACGGCACCACCCCCGGGCACACGGCGCATGTGTGGCACAGATATAGCCGCTGGCGCACAGCCCGGGGCCCACCCCTAGGGCGCACGGTGCATGTGCGGCCCAGTCCGACCCAGTTGTCCCTGCTGGCGCACACGCCGAGCCATGCAGGGCCCCGTGGCCATGGGGGAAAGGGCATTGCTGGCTGGTGCGAGGGGGATGTGGGCGGGAGCCGGGCGCGCAGCACCTGATGGTAGCTGTAAAGGATGCCGCGTGCCCCTTACAGCTGCCATCAGGCGCCCCCCATCAGTTGGCGACCTGAGCAGTTGCCCGGCTCGCCCATGCCTCCATCCCGCCCTGTGTATTTGCACAAACTAGCAAAGTCTTACATGCAGCTGGAGGGTTGTGTTAGCATCACTGAACAATGCTCAAAGCTGCAACATTTATTTAGTTATTCACAGTAAATTCACCTTTCCTATGTCAGCCCAATAGAAATCCAACTGAGAACAATTGGGACAGCATGCATAATCGCCACACACACACATCCCACAAAACTGTAGCAATTTGGAAAAGAAGTTTGCTTTATTAAATTCTAAATCAACATTTATATTTACTATGGTGTTGTGTGGAAGGCAGGTTTGTGTGAAGCGGCCAGAAGAGGTTGGAAGGGAAGTTCTATTTTCCTGACACTAAGTCTGGGTAAAATCTGGAACATGACAGATCCTGCCAATTTTGGAGGCTCCAAATTCCAAGATAAATGGAAAACAGATGTAGCCATCACAGCAGCTCAAAGAAACCCAGACTTAGCTACCCTAGATGCTAGAATGAGGGGTGCAGGGCTTTCACACTAGATTGAAGTGGTTTCCATTATACACAGGGTTGAGAGTTGTGGTTCAATGGCACTCAGCACCCCCATTATGTAAATTGTTCCAGCAGCCATGCCAGGCACAACATTGTACAATAGTTTCACAAAAATCTGGACATGACACTTTGATCCTATTGCCTTCTGGAGTTCAGTGACTTGCAATTAAGGCAGAAGTTTGAGATTGGATAAAAAGATTTGGAAAACAGTACTGACTTTAACAGCATCTTTATGAAGGTAGTGACTAAAGTTTTATTTAAAGGGTAGGGAAGTATTGTTCTGTTTCCTCCTAATTTCCCTGATCCATGAAAAACTTTGAGAAGTCACTGAAGTGTCTAGCCTGCTCCCTTAAGCTGTAAAATTGTTGACAAAGCATGCTCACCCTTCTCCCAACTCTTTGTTCTTCACACCCAAATGCTCTAGAACTAAAACTCCCCAGTATTTCACAGAAAAACATGAGATTTGTAGTACCAGTTAACAAGATGCAGATAATTGTCCTGCATGCAGTATATATTTCACTTTATAAAAGTATATTGTAACATGATTCTTATGTGCAATACTGTTTAAAACACATTTTGGTATCACAGCATTTATATGAACCTATAGTAGTTACCTAATCATCGCACCAATTTTACATTAAATTAATATACATTAATTTACTTGCATTACAAGTGTAAAATGCCACTAGGTAAGCCAAATCAACTACAAAATGATTTTTATAATAGATATTCAGACTATTTGATAATCTAGAACATATAAAACTGGAAAATAAGCAGGTACAAATTTTCACCTGGTGTAGGAAATACAGTTATAACTGGATACATATTATATGGTAGATATGGAGACCTTAAGCATGTGAAAGATATTCAGCTAGTGATAAAAGCAATTTTAAAATTAAATATTTCTTCACTGAGCATCTTTAACTTGAATTATGAGAACAACTGTTACATGTTATACAAAAGGTAAACTAAAACTAAGCATTACATTACAAGATACTGTGCACCTAAATATCTGGGAAATACTGCAAACTACAATGGTGATGTTAATAAAAGCCACATATATTATCAGACTTCTAATCAAATCCATAAATAGTAAACAACTATTTTCTTTGCAAATGCATTGTTTAATCCCTAAGAACTAGGCGTGTCTAGGATGTTTAGGGTTTGATAGATTTTTGTTACTGTCTGAAATAGGACTAACCTGGATATAGATGCTGCTGTGTATGAGTAGTTAGTTTTTCTTGCAAAGTGCATTTTTCCAAATGCTCTCCAGCTGTGAACTGATGCTGGTCTGGTTGTTCTATAGAAAATCCTAATTCTTCAGATTCAGAAAGCTTGAGATAGAACTGTGATTCCAAATCATTAGCAAAGGAGAGGTTTGTGGCATCATGTCTCCCACTGTGACAGTCATTCAACACAGATTGTTCTTCAGTGTTCTGTGGAGGCAATGGAAGAATCCTATGGTGCAGCTGTGGACTAGGCAGTCTTGAAGATAAAGGAGAAGGAATAGGTGACATTTGTTTGTGTATGTTGGATCCTGGATATGAATTATTAAAAACATTACAGACAGCAACTAAAGAGGGCGATAGTTGCCTTTTCTCTTCCGGTTTAAGGTTGGTGCTTGTCTGAGAAATATCAGTTCTTAAATGTATTGGCAGATTTAAAAACAAACATTTGTTGCTCTCCAGGGGTTCTGTAGCTCTTTTGTCATATATTGAGCCTGGTAGGTTTTTGTCTGCTCTTGTAATTTGTTGTAGTCTCTTCCATTCTGCAGCTTCATCTAAACTGTCATTCTGGATAATTTTCAGAAGGGTTTTATTGACTGCTCCCACAAGGTTGCATGACTCATCAATAATCGGCAGGCTCTCTGCTTTGCACTGCAAAGCACAGTCATTGTGCTCCTTTTCCTGCATCACAGTGTATTTAGAGTTTACAGCAGCTTCTCCAACATTGAATACTTCAGCTTTTGGTATAAATTCACTGCACACTCCAGAGAGAACAGGTGTAACAGCTTCCTTATCTTCCTGAGTAACGGTGTAAGAAATAACATCAGGCTCTGTATGTGTTTTTATAACTCTCTGAACACAAGCTTTCAAATCCTGTACTTTAGCTACAACTCTGGCTGCAGGTTTCTTAATGCATGTTTGCTCAGTATACTCAAAATTACACAGGCTTTCATTTGCTTCTGTCTGGTTTAAGGCCTCAAATCTATTAGGTAAACTATCTTGAAAAGAGTTTGGTAAAGGACTGCTCCACTGCAACTTCATTCCTTTAAGTGTACCCTCTACATCACCTAATAGACCAGTGCTGGGATCTGTAATACAACTTCCAAACACATGATTCTCATATTCAGATAGAGAATCAGACGGGTATGTGTCTGATCTCGAAATCCCACTGCACTCAAGAAAGTAGTCATCTTTTCTCCATCTTTCTTGTGGTATGTTAATTCCAAATGGTAAATCATCCTTTTCTTCTACCACCAGGTAATTAGAACTGGAAAAGGAATCAGGAGAGATGCCAGCAGAAAATTTGGTAGAAAGTGTCCTGTTATTTCCGAGTTTCATTTCTGTCCTGTTTAACACAGAATGTTCCAAAGCGCTCTGACCCTTCTTTTTCACTTTCTTGTTTATGAACTCCTCCAAGCTCTCTCTCCTTCTGCCAGTTTTCCTCATCTTCTTGTTTTTCAAGCTGGGTTTATTATCTGTGGATCCCAGAAAGGATTCCTGTTGATCCTTGAAATTTAAGAGATCATCTTTACATTTCAGTCCTTCAGAGGCTTCCTTCAGCTTCCCCTCTTGATTTCCCATTTTAATACCCAGAATGTTGTGTGAACTGAGCAGGTTAGCTAACAGCTTCTCTTTTTCAGCACTTAGTTTATACAGATCAGTGAGAATATCTTTAGTGGTCGTTTGCTTGAAGAAAATATCTCCAACATTTTCATAAAGTTGCTCTCTCGGTTCTGTTGTCTCTGACTTTTCTCTTACTTGATAGCAGTTATGAAAACGTTTATTGGCTTTGTTGAGAGTTACACAGCCCTTGTATGTAAATCCTCTGACTTTTCCCTTTGGAAGATAGAAGCTGATGTAACAGAGTTCCATAATGGGTCTGTGTAATTGGAGGATAGTATGAGTGCCTTCCATTATGCTCATCTAATTATTCTTTCATTTAAATTATGTGAACAGTGTTTCAAGGCTTGCATGATACAGCATGTGATGTGGAGAATGTGCAGGAGGCATCTGACTAATCTTCCACAGTAACGTTGCCTGTAAAAAAAGGGGAAAAAAAATCTAATTTAATTAAGGCAATTTTGATGGAGCAAACTGCAGCTTAGTAGCACAACATCTCAAATTTTCGCTCCATGTTATTTCTTGATACCCTTCTTTCCACAGGATTTAAAACAAAAAGGATGGTTACACTAAAATTCACGGTCGATATTATAACATTTACCCCCAAGTACTGTAATATGTGATTTTAAAAGATTATAGATCATTTTCCAGGGAACTTGCACCATCCTTCCAAAGCCAAGCTACTTGTCAACTTTGCAGCTATTTCCTTCTTCCTTCTCACCCCCTCCCGCACTGCTGAAAAGCTAATTTTATGTTGAACTCCACTGGCTGACACAAGTATCAGTAATCACCATCTTAATGAAAAGTGTAAGCTGCCATTTCTATGTCTTTTTCAGCACTTTCAGCACTAAACACCATCAGAAATATAACCATTAAACTCTCAAACAAAATAGCTTTCAGTCATAGTTATTTCATATGAAAGAATCCCCAATCCATTTCCAAACAACTAAAAAAAGATTGTGTGTCAAATTCTTCCCCTATTTATATTCACACAATTCCACTAACCTTTCCATAGGAGGAAAAATGAGCCATTTATTTTGGCTAAAATATCACCTCTCTTGGCAGAGACTCACAACTCACACCTTGCGGACTGGGGATTTTAAAGCTGACCTATTCCCTACCTACACTGTGATATTCCCATCAAGCCCAACTTTGTAAAAAGGCCAGAACATGCACTTTACTTTCTCTCCAAAGGCTTTAACTAGTGTATTCTCAGCAGTTACAAATTACCTGGCAGCTCCTACTGTGCAAGCACAGTCATTAAGGCAAAAGCATGACAGAGAAAGCAGAAAGAAGTTGTCAAGATGTTCTTGTAATGTCACATTGAGGCAAGTTTTGCCCATGGAAGCTTCATGCATGCATTTTACTATAGAATTTGGGTCATTAACAATACAAATATATTTTCATTCAAATAAAATCATCAGACAGATCAACTTCCTTTATAAATATGAAATCTCACTCCTGTCCAAAGTGATTAAAATTAAGGTTACTTAATAGATGGGAAACCACAAACTTCAGGGAAAGTGAGAGACGAGAGATCCAAAAGAGAAAACACCTCTAACAGGTGAAAGGACTGCTTGATGCTACTCTCCTTATAATATCCTAGGTACTGGTCTCTTACCACTAAAATGGAAACTAACTGACTCTGAGTAATCTGCCACAAATTATGGTGGGCTGCAAAATTTTGCCTTCACACAATGATTACATTTCTAAAGTGAATCAAACTAAATCATATTAGAGCCTTTTTAATTCTCAATGGGTATGTCTACACTGCAAAGTTAATTTGAAATAACAGCCATTATTTCGAATTAACTTTAATAGCGTCTATACATGCAAACCGCTATTTCAAAATTAATTCAAAATAGCGGAGCACTTCATTTTGAATTTGGTAAACCTCATTCTACAAGGAATAATGCCAAATTCGAAATAGCTATTTCGAATTAAGTGCTATGTAGACACTTAATTCGAAATAGAGGAGAGGGCTGATAAAGAAAAGTTATTTATTAGTTCCCTAAATAGAAGAACTAGAAGACACCAAATGAAATTAATGGGGAACAGGTTTAAAACTAATAAAAGAAAGTTCTTCTTCACACAGCGTGTAGTCAACCTGTGGAACTCCTTGCCAGAGGAGGCTGTGAAGGCTAGGACTATAACAGAGTTTAAAGAGAAGCTAGATAATTTCATGGAGGTTAGGTCCATACAAGGCTATTAGGCACCTTCCTGGTCCAGGGTGGAGAACATGGACCTATTCAGGTTTGGGGAGGATGCCCCCAACGTCCATGATCTCCACACTAGAGGGAGGAGCGTGGCCGTCTATGGCAGGATAGCTGCCAGCCTGGCCTCCAAAGGCCACGTGCAAACCCAGGAGCAAGTTGGCATGAAACTCAAGTTGGTCCAGCAAGACCCCCAACCCTGAGGCCTGAGCCCTGAGCTTCCCCTTTTTCCCCTTGCTTCCCCCTTCCAGCTCCCTCCTCCCAGGTTTTCCCCTCCCCTCTCCCACCTCCTTTTCCCAGTCTCCCCAGAGGTTCATTTTTCTCCCCACCCCCAGTTTTGTTCAATAAACCCAGTTTCTATTTTTGAACATACGTGTCTTTTATTTGACATCAGGAAGGGGGGCTAGGGAGGAGTAAGTGGAAGGACGTGAGGGAGGAGCCCCTGGTGGCATAAGCCCCTGGTGGGGAGGCATAAGCCCCTGGTGGGGAGGACTGGGGAGGCTCTGAGGGCTCCATAGGGTGGACGCTCTCCCGCAGAGCCTCCTGGATCCTGACAGCCCCCCTGATGAACCCCCCAAATGGCAGCCTGCAGCAAGTGCAGCCAGACTGATGGCAACGACCCCACAAGACACACTGGCATGCCCAGGGGCAGCTCTGGCTCCATGTGACTGAGTGCTGTGGTGTCCCGAGTGTAGGCACTCAGGGCACTCCAAGACAGGACTGCTTTGCTGTCCCTTATTGAGGTAGACAAGCAAGCGGGGAACCCTGAGAACTGACTGTCCACACGGAGCTCAGTTAGCCTCAGGCAATAGCCTCACACACTAAGTCCTAACCTGATGCCCTGCCGGCACTGGTTCCGGCCAGCCTTAACTTCGGTTCAGGGTCCACTCAGTGTGGACGCGCTACTTCAAATTAGGAAAACGCTATTTCAAAATAGTTTTTGTGTGTAGATGCGTTAATTCGAATGAGCTTAATTCGAAATAGCACTGTAGTGTAGACATACCCAGTGAGTGTGTGAACACAGTGGTTTCATGCAGTTAAACTAATCTATTTGTAATTGATACCCTTATTTAATTTGGATTAATTTTCCTTAGCATGCCTGTGTAGATAAGCACTGAGGTCAGGCTTCCATCTTCCCAGGAAACTTAATTGGGAAAACCAGATTAAACAGAATTACACTAATGGCAGTAATGTTTACACTCTAAGGAACCAATAAAATACACAAGATGTCAAAAGATGTGCAGTCCACACCTACCAACTTTATTTAAACTAAAAAAGGTGAAACAGGAAGCTGGGAAAAGGCTGAACACACAACTGTACATTCCAAATAGATGAAGAATAAAATCTCCATATTGCAATCATCTGCCCATCAAGGCACCCTTGCACAGTACAGTCCCCTTCAGGAAAGGCTAGCTTATTGCTTATTACCCCAGACTACTGTGTCTTTGTTTATAAAAACGCAGTCCTAAGTATACAAGATGTTGACTTGCTATTATTTGCTTGGCTTATCTCAGTGGCTATGTCTACACTGGCATGAATTTCCGGAAATGCTTAAAACGAAACAGTTTTCCGTTATAAGTATTTCTGGAAAAAGAGCGTCTACACTGGCAGGCTGCTTTTCCGGAAAAGCCCTTTTTCTGGAAAAGCGTCTGTGGCCAATGTAGATGCGCTTTTCCAGAAAAAAGCCCCAATCATCATTTTCGCGATCGGGGCTTTTTTCCGGAAAACACTACTGTGCTGTCTACACTGGCCCTTTTCCGGAACAGTTTTCCGGAAAAAGGACTTTTGCCCAAGCGGGAGCAGCATAGTTTTTCCGGAAAAGCAGCTGATTTCTTACAGTAAATCGTCACTGCTTTTCCAGAAATTCAAGGGGCCAGTGTAGACAACTCGCAGCTTATTCCGGAAAAGCGGCTGATTTTCCGGAATAAGTGGCCCAGTGTAGACACAGCCAGGCTACGTCTACACTGGCCCCTTTTCCGGAAGGGGCATGTAAATTTCATGAGTCGTCGTAGGGAAATCCGCGGGGGATTTAAATATTCCCCGCGGCATTTAAATAAAAATGTCCGCCGCTTTTTTCCGGCTTTTAAAAAAGCCGGAAAAGAGCGTCTAGACTCGTCTCCGCTGGCCCCGATCCTCCGGAAAAAGCGCCCTTTGAAGTAGGAATAAGAGCCTCCGGAAAAGGGCGCTTTTTCCGGAGGATCGTGGCCAGTTTAGACGCTCTTTTCCGGCTTTTTTAAAAGCCGGAAAAAAGCGGCGCACATTTTTATTTAAATGCCGCGGGGGATATTTAAATCCCCCGCGGATTTCCCTACGGCGACTCATGAAATTTACATGCCCCTTCCGGAAAAGGGGCCAGTGTAGACGTAGCCCCAGTGAGTAAAGGCCTTGGATGACAAGGTAGAAACCAGGGTGTTTGAAGAAACAACAAGGGAGAGATTATTCAGGAGCTGCTGAGTGTTAGAGTGAGTTAGGGATGCAAAAATGCAGTTTAAAATGTAAATTGTGTAACCACTAAAAATCAAATCACAGTGGCTTCATGTGCTGGGGTTGGGCCTTATAAAGTTTAAATAAGCTTTATACAGGAGAGTTGCAGCAAAGCTGCCCGCCCCTTTCCCGGGGAGCTAGTGTGTAATCTGCAGCGGAGGATGTGAGGGGAGGGTGAGAGTCCCACTGGGTCTGGCATGCATAGGGGCTGCTCCAGCAGGCTCCACAGGGTTGGAACAGTCACCTGCCTGGGGCAGGTGCAGAGCGGCTCCAGCCCCTACCAGTTAACCTTACCCTTAATAGTGAGGCTCACTAGCTAACCAATTAAATTTTTACATCTCTAATAAAAGTGTTGAATTATAATACACTGTTGGCCAAGGCATCGTATTCAGAGAGGAAAAACAAAGAAAAATAATTGAAAGCCAAGCCAATATTTTCTTAAAACACATACCTTGTAAGTCAGTCTGAGTCAGAATGGATTTCATAGTCTTAATCAAGGATAAAAGGGTCTCATTTTAGAGAAGTATGACCAACTGTTTTTTATTTGTTTTCTATTTTTCTTGACCAGTTAGACATTTTATTATTGAATTATGATGTACTGGTTGTGTGCTAACAGCACTACGGAAGCTATGGCTATAGTAACTACATTATGCATCTAATTTAATATCCCAAAATGACATCCATTATGATCAATTGCAGTTCAGCCTCATTTTCAAATAC